CATGTAGAGGGCTCTGCCATGAGTCCCCTGTCCCCTGTCTACTCTCCCAGGCCCTGCCATCACTGCCCTGACTGCCCCACCTCCCAGCCCTTTAAAAAAAAAAAAGTCCCACCTCACTGGCTCCTGCCAGGTGGGGGAACCATCTCTGCTACCCCTCACTGCTCCACGATGCATGGAGAGCTTTGCCACGAGCCCCCAAATGCCTGGAGGCCACTGCAGCAGCCAGTGAGTGCAGGGGTTTTTTTTTGTTTTTTGTTTTAAAGAGAGTGGATCTGGGGCCAGGCAGGGCAGCCATGGAGGGGCTAGGAGAGTGGGCAGGGGTCAGAGGACTCGTGGCAGAGCCCCCCATATGGCATGGGGCAGTGGGGGACAGTGGAGATCACCTCCCTGCCTGGCAGCAGCTGGTGAGTGGGGGCTTTTTTTTTTCCAAAGAGCAGGGAGCTGAGGCCAGGCGGGGCAGGGACAGCAGGCGGGGCTCAGGGAGGCACTCAGGGGCGGCTAAGGGAGCAGGCAGGAGATGGGGCCTGCAGCCCCTCCTCCTTCCCCTCCCCTGCTACTTACCAGCACGGAGTCCAGGTTCAGCTCCCTGCTGCAGCAAGCTGAGACTGCTTGAATCGCCAAAGCCCTCTGAATCTTTTCCGAATCGATTCAGAGAGCTCCAAATGGATTCGGACCTTTTCACTGGCCTTCTGATTCAATTAAGATTTGGAGATTCAGCCACTAAATCAGCACCTGAAGGTTTGTACAGCCCTACTAGTTACCCTTACAGAAAAGAAGTTCTTCCTTATGTTTAGCCAAAGTTTTTTCTCAACTAGCTTGTGCCCATTGGACCTCATCCTCCTGAGGACTGCCTTTCTGAAGAGCTGCTCCCCTAGACCTTGGTGTTTGCCCCTGACATACTTGTAGGTGGCTATCAAGTTGCCTCTCAGTCTTCTCTTAGTCAGACTGAACAGGCCCAATTCCCAGAGTCTCTCTTCATAGGGCCTATCCCCCAGGCTCCTGATCATGCAGGTGGCCCTCTCTGTACTCTTTTGAGCTTATCCACATCCTTCTTGAAGTGCAGTGCCCAGAATTGGACACAGTACTCCAGCTGTGGCCTCACCAATGCTGAACAGAAGGGGAGGAGCACCTCTCTGGATCTACTGGTAAAGCATTGGCTGATGCACACCAGAATTCTATTTGTCCTGCTGGCGACTTCATCACACCGATGACTCATATTCATCCTTTGGTCAACTGTCACCCGCAGATCCCTTTCAGATACAGTGCCAGCCAGTGGGCCATGTGCTGAACTATTTTTTATTTCTGTTTCTATCATTTTTCCAAGAACAGAAGTTAGGCTCACTGGCCTGTAATTCCTCTCTAGAGTCTTTTTTAAATATGGGAGTCACATTGGCAACCCTCTAGTCCTCTGGTACTAAGGCTGTTTTTAGTGACAGGTTGCATACTACAGCTAAGAGCTCAGCAATTTCTGATCTGAACTACTTCAGGATCTTAGGGTGAATGCCATCAGGTCCTGTTGATTTGCAACTCTTTAGCTTTTATCAATTTCCTCTACAATCTCATTTATTGAAACCTCAATATGGGTCAGCTCCACTGACTTGTCCTCAGGGAGGAGTGGATCTGGCAAGGGGATTTCCCTAACACATTCCACAGAAAAGACAGATGCAAAGAATGCATTTAGTTGCTCAGCAGTAGCCCTGTCATCTTTAATGCTCCTTTTATACCCCGATCATCCAAAGGCCCAACTGACTCTCTTTGCAGGTCTTTGGTTTCAATGTACTTAAAGAAATGTTTATTGTTACCTTTTATCTCTAGCAAGTTTCTCAAATTCTTGCTTAGCTTGCCTTATTAAGGTTTTACATTTGATTTGATGAAGTTTATGCTTTTTTATTTTCCTTAATAGGATTTGTCTTCCACTTTTTTGAAAGATGCCTTTTTCTACTTATTGCTTCTTCATTTCTTCTATTAAACCATGCCGGCTTTCTTTTGGTCCACTTTCTAGTTTTTTAATTTGAGGTATGCATTCGCTCTGTGCCTCCAATATGGTGTTCTTAAGCAGCTCCCATGCTGCTTTCACATTCATCACCTCCTTAGGGGCCTCTTTTAACTTCTTTCTAACTATGGATGTGAACAGTTAAATGATCAATCATTTAAATGATAAGCCCAGTGATAACTGGTTATAGCTTACCAGTTATTGTTCAGCGCAGGGCAGGGTGCAGTCCGGCAGGGAAAGGGAAGAAGGGAAATCATGTGGTGCTGCCCAGCAGGAACTAGAAGGTGGCAGGGCAGGCAGGAGGGAGGGAGGGAGAGGCAAGGATGAGGCAAGGGGGAGTGGGTGTTAGTACCTATAGCTAGGCTCCATGGACCCCTAAAGTGCAGCTGCTGGCAGCCTCCCTGCCACCTGCCATGAGCAGCCTATGATCCAGGAGACCCCTATCGCCCGCCACAGAACCCAAGCTGCTGGAAGCTAGCAGTGGGGATGCTGCAAGCAGATGCACCAGGGTCTGCAGAATTTAGCTTTTAGGTCAGGGGTGGACAATTATTTGGGCCTCAGGGCCACTTAGGGAGTTTTGGTGAGCCGTGGCAGGCTTGGTCAGCACCCCCACCCCCCGCAACAACTCACCAAGTGGCTCTGCTCCATGCTGGGCTGAGTGGTTAGGATGGGACTGCAGGCAGACAGGGAATGGAATGGGTGGGTAGGGCTGGGATTATGGGGCCGTGACAGTGTGGGGCAGGGTCCCAGGGCAGAACCACAATCTGCTTCCTACACGCCTCTGCAACAGGCACCAGTTCTGCAGGCATAGTAATTTGGGGAGTGGATCACGGCTCTGACCCCATGCTGTCACTGCCCACGATCACAGGATAGCCATAGAGACTGGTTGGGACCTGCATAGGCAGGACACATGGCCAGACAGATAGGTGCCACAGACAGGAGGTGAGCTGTGTCCAGGTCCAGGATCTCAGGGTGGTGACAGTGCAGAGCTGGGGCCCAGCGCAGAGCTGTGATCCACTCCCTGCACACCCTGCGGAATTGGTGCCCGTTGCAGGGGTGTGCAGGCAGATCATGGCTCTGCCCCTGCGCTATCACTGCCCCAACATCCTGGCCCATGGTCCAAGCTCCACCTGCACATTCCACTCCTAGACACTGCCCCCTGCTGGCCCATGGCCCCATATCATCTTCACAGCCCTGTCCACATAGGTCCTGCCCATGGCAGTGGGTTTTAATGGGTATCCCTATTTCTCCCTTTTTAAAGTTAAAGACTACTGTGGTAGATTTTCTTTTTGTCTCCCCTCCTACATGGATGTCAAACCCAATTGCACTGTGGTTGCTACTGCACAGAGATTTAGTAACACTTACCCTTTGTACCAAATCCTGTGCACTACTTAGGACTAGGCCAAGAACGCTCTTACCTCTTCCAGAACCAGCTGCTCCCCATGTGTATTTTTCTGTTGAAACCCAGAATTTTTATCCACAGAGATCAGATGTTACCTCTCTTCTCAGCTGAAAAATCTATTATATATGATTTGATGCAGTCTTTGATGTAGAGTACCACTCCCCAACCAATATGACCTACTCTATCATTCCTGAATAATTTGTATCCTCGTATTACAGCCTTTCTTTGATTTTCCTCATTCCACCATCTTTCTGAGATACAGAGCCTATCAAACATCACATCTTCTTCTCCTGGGGGTCCCACAGCCTGGCAGAAAGTGGGTAAAGGAGCAGCGAGAACTACCCATATGATGCAGCAGATAGCCAGCTGGCAAGCTGCTTAGCAGCTGCACAGGGAAAAGGACAGCAACTGATCACACAAGAGATGCTCCTGAGGCAGTAGGGCCATGGCTGGGGAGGCAGTCCCCCCCACTTCCTCAAGTGATAGGTCTGATCCAAATATTTTAGTTTAAATCATGCAGGCTAAAGAACATTTCATTTTCTAATGAGGTACGGGCTATGGGATAGCATATCTTGCTTTAAGAGATAAGACTACTAACACTGAAATAAATGTGTTAAGAGAAAATGAGAATAAAACCAAACAGAATTAATAATACTAACTATCTGTGCTGTTAAAAGGCGTAATCTGGCTTCTTCCAGAATGTCAGCAATTTGTTGAGGTGTTGTATCATATGAAATGTCTGTGTTACAATCTGGACATCTCAGCCTTCGAACAACTTGGGAAACCTCTTCTGTGTCAAACTAAGTAAAGACAAAAAGAAAAAACTGAAGTGACTGACATACAGCAGCATAAAACCCAAAAAAGAAAGCTAATGGAAGTCTGTTAAAAAATAGTAAGAAATTAAAAATACTATTAACAAAATCTAATTTGAGCTCTATTTTGAGTTTGACACAAACAATATTCACAAAGATAATAGAGATTAAACTTGTAGTACCATATTTATCAAGATTCAAGACGACCCTGAATTTAAGAACTCCGAGTTATTAGATGCCAAACATGGAAAATGTTTAGAATCTAGTTATTGTAAGTCCTCTTAAATTCCTCCTCCCCACCACTGCCACAGGGAAAATCATAGCAGGGAAAGCGGCAGCTGTGGGGTGGGCAGCCTGTCCCATGACCCTTGTCCTTGCCTTGCCTGTTGCTCCTCCTCTTGGGCTTGCCTCCTGTCTTCCGCCTTCCAGTTCCTTTCCATTCCTGCCACTTAGCCCTCCCCCTCCCTCCCCTGATGCCTGTTGTTCCCCTACCTTTTCAACTGCTCTGGTTCTGTCCCTGCTGGGTGCATGGAACACATGACCAGGCTGGACGGTAGCAGTGGCTCCAGCTCCTGGCTCCAACCCAGGTTGGGGATACAGCTGGAGCTGCAATAGCTCCCCCGCCAGTCTCTGTGCCTTCCTCACACCATTTTCCTATGCTCCCCTTGCTCCATGCTCCCCTTCCCTTGTGCCCTTTTCTCACACTCCCCATTCCCCTTTTCTAGCAATCTATGTTTCCCTTTCCCCATGCTCCACACATCCCTTCCCCCATACTCCCTCACTGCCTTTTCCTCTGCACTCCACCCAGCACCATGCAACCCTTCCCCATCCCCCCCAGCACTGTGTGCCCATTCCCTCTACACTCCCCCTACACTGCATACCCCTTCCCTGTAACTCTCTCCTAAGTTCCCCTTGCTCCATGTTTCTCTTCCTTGGCACCCTTTCACCAGGCCCCTTCCCCTGTGCCCTTTCCCTATGCTTCCCTTGCTCTGCACATCCCTTCCCCCACGCTCTGCCCATCACCCTTTCCCCCATGCACCCCCTCCTGCACCATACATCTCCTTTTCCCACACTTCTCCTGCTCCACACACTGTAGTCCTGTCAGAAGCTGCAGCAGTTCCTTGCCTGACCTGTACTCAAATCTAAGATAAAGGTATCCTCCCAAGCTGAATGGGGGAAAACCCTCACCTTAACCTTGAGTAAATATGGTGTTTTTTCATGCTAAAGAAATTATAGTATCAAGGGCTGCTTACAGACATTAAAGAAAACCAAAACGGCACTTTAAACTTGGTGTGCTCCCATGCCAAGCCCAGCACATACCAAATAGAGGCAGTGCGCTAGTTGGACCCAGCTTGCCCAATGTATATTGGGTGCTTTAGTGGGGGTTTTTTGGCAATTCTGTCTAATAGCTGATTGAATCAGCTATTAGATAAAAGTGCCAAAAAGCCCCATGGAAGAGTTTGATCTATAAAGACGCTGCAAAGTTGGGTCAAACTAACATGCTGTCTCTTCTGGTAAAAAGGGGTTTTTTAACATCTGTAAGCAGCCAAAATCCTATGATTATACAGAAAATCAGGATCTTTCTGAAAATATATCATAGTAACTCTTATTTCCTTTCTATGCAAAGGATGGTTGTGTGTTCTTTACTTGTAAGAAGAACACTATATTTTCTCACATACAAATTGCCCCTGAATAAGATGCACAACTTTTTTTGAAAGGTAGAATGCAGAAAAGGGAAGTTTTGAAAATACTGGTAACAGTAACTGAGTAGCAGCAGCTAGGGAGCCCAACATGTTCAATGTGCTGCTCCCTGTGGAGTATGCACAGTGTTATTTTCATTTCCCCCCTAGCTGAGGCTTAACAGCAGAACCTGGTATTATCATATTTCCTTGCTTATGACATGCAGCTGATATTTTTTTGAGAAAAAGAGTGTGTTATATGCAAGAAAATATGGCATTAGAAATCCTGGAAATTCAAAGCAAATATAATTGTATGGGGGAAAAAACCCTTAAGATGACAGAAAAAGAATAGAAATGTTGAATTAAGGTCACTGAAATTGAATTTGTCTATATGTCGTCACTCCTATATAAATTCTATGTAAAACCTTTACTGGAGGTTAATGAAGACGTTTATGGAAGCCTGACACAATGCTCTTTGGTGTGAACCTCCCCTGTGGGAGTGTTCCCAAGAATATTTACTCTGGCTGCTCTCATGCACCACAGCCAAAAGCCACCTGGGCTTTATAGAAGAAAACGAAAAAAAATTGCAGTGTGTCAGAGGAAGATAGGAGGACAGACAAACAGTCCAGCATTCCTTCCCAATTTTAGTAAAATTATTATAATTTAGCAACCATTGTGTTCCAGACACGCACTCAAGTACAAGTTTCGTAATGTCATTTCTTAAAAGTAAATGCAGGTCAAGTATTGTATAAGTCATCATTTTCTCTTATACATTTCATATCTACCTCCATAAAGTCCTCTCTTCTCTGAAACTGGCTTCAAACAGATGATGATAGACAAAACTCATATATATAGCACATACAACTCATTTTTTTATTTTTCGAACTTTCCAGTTTATCCAAATACTACCATATCAATATCAAATACTTCCATCATAACAAAGCCCTCTTTATCATTATAGTTTTCTTTTGTAAACCTAATATTTATGAATCTACTTTTCTAATAGATACTATCATAAATCGAAACCAACTAATCAGTCTTTCAATTCAGGCACTTTTTTTAAACCTCTTCCTACAGGATTTTCTTTTTATGAAAGAATAAATATGATAAATATTAATTACTCACTTTATAAGGGTAATCAATTTGAATTGCTTCTTCAGTCATGTTCCAATTTGCATCAGCTAAAAATCTGTCAAGTTTTAGCATGGAAAACGCATTGATCTGCATTTCTTTTATTCGTTGAACAGCACTGTATATTGCCATACGCTTTGGAAGGGTAATATTACACAGACCTATGGAATGAAGGAAAGTGAAAGCATTTATCAGTAAGTATACTTGTGTGATGTGAAAGAGAGAATGTTGGAAGGTGAGAAGATAACTGACCACCTGAATGACCTTCCTGAAAAGTCACCGGGAGCAGGTTGAAATTTTCTCCCTGAGAAGTCATAGGATTCTTCCAGGGAACTTTTTTAGCTTGTAGAAGCTGCAGTACGCTGCTGTCACAAGCTTCTCTCCTTTACAGGTACTAAAAGCCCCCTTCAGATGTGACTGTAAAGATTAAATGGGATCTGATGCATGAACCATACAACCACACTTCCTGCCACACATGCATAGCAGGAGGCATGATTGTGGGATTGTGCATTAAATACCATCATGCCTTATTGCTGGTGCAAGCTCCCTCAACTGGAAGCCCCTCAGCTGATGGGGCTCCCAGTCTTGGGGGCAGATGGTACAACCCCGCAACTGGAAGCCTCATCAGCTATGGGCTCCTAGCTGCACGGGTGCATCATGTGGGAGCCTGCATCAGCTGTGGGCTCATGTACCCCTGTGGCTGCCAGGTGCTGGTGCTCCCCTATGGCTGGGAGCCCTATCAGCTGATAGGACTCCCAGTACACCTGGCTACATGTTCAGTTAATGGTCTGATAGGAACCAACCACAAAATTATTACACACTTTTTGTAGAATACCTGTGACTTATTTCTCCTTTTATCATGCCATTAGTTGATTGACCATGTAGCTGGCTCACAGCTTAAGACATGACTAACTGGTTAATCACATTTTAAGTGTAATGTGTTGGCAGGGACCTTATTGTAACCAGTGACACTTAATTAGGATTACTAGGTTGCTCTTGTCTGTAGTTGTCTAAATTAATGTTTATTTTGCTTTCCTAAGCAGTCCACTTGCCCCTTTGAAGGTTATTTAACTGAGGAGTTCTTTTGGTACTGTACTGTGATATTGGGAATATTAGAGGTTTTTACAGAAATTACTTCCCTTCTTCATCTTTTTTTCTCCTCCTTTGCCCCCACCACCTTCTTTCTTGCCTGTATCACCTCATTTTTTGATTATTTCTTTAATCCCACTATTTGTGCTTGGAATTGCCCCACTCTTTTTGTGCACTTTCCTTCTTCAAATCTCTCTTAAAACCACTTCTTTAAAACTTTTAAACAAAAATCTTTGAAAAATGTATCCATATTTATATGGGCTTATGCCCCAGCCTGCCAAATGATTTATGTTTTAACTATTTTATTCAAATCCAAAGACACCAACGGGTCTATATGGCCCTGCATAGCACAACACATGAATACTTGGGCTAGCTCTGAATAAGCTGTTTCTATGCAACACAGTAGAATGCCATGCAGAGACATTGGTTTGAATCCCCAAAACAGTATAGCTGAATAACATGGTGCTCTGTTCAGGTTATTTCACCCCTTTTCACTAGGCCTAACTAGGCAAGACAGAACACATCCATACAATTATATTACTGTCCAGGGTCAGATCCAGAGGGTGTGTGGTGGTGTGGTTGCATGCCACTTCCCATAACTACAGTGGGTGAGAGAGGCACTGGCTCTGGGAGCTGATTTGAGGGGCAGCATTAGTAAGACTTAACCTGTTGGCCATGTTGACTTCGGAGCGCACACAGAAATATACTCTGGAGTGTTCCTCTTCCTGCTGAGATAGGTTGTCTGTGGCTGAGCAGCACTCCCAGCAGCCAGACAAATGTGCATTCTCATATGGGCAGTTTGAGAGCTCTCAGAGAAGAGCAGAGTGGAATAAGCCTCTTGGGGGCCGATCTGGATTAAGTGAACTGGATGTTGCATCCTGCAGGGTGGAAATGAGGGTGGGGGACAGACAGGCAGGGAGCCCTAGGGCGACAGAGGCAAGGCAGGGGAATGCAGGCAGAGAGCCCTCAGGGTGTTAGGGCAAGAAGGGGCTGGGGGGGAGGGAGGGGGGAGAGGTAGGCAGCCAGGATCCAGGCAGATCAGACCCTCAGCTGACTGGCCCATCTTCGTGAAGCAGGTGGGAAGTAAGGAGTGCCTCCTGCCAGCCCCAGAGATGAAGGACCAAATTCTGATTGTATCCTTGTTTTCAAGATCATAGACCCCACCCCCTGCTACTGTCAGTTACAGAGTTGATTTCACTCAAACTACCTTGGGTATCCCTATACAATATTGCACTGTGCCATGTACACAAACCCAAGTTTTCTTAGAGAACATTTATATAACAATAAATAAAAATAATTATTTCATTGTATTTTTTTTCCATTATTAAACAACAACACTAAACCTTCCTTTTTAAAATAATCTCTTTTACCCATAAGCAAAGGTATCCTTCAATGGTTCTAAAGAGACAAAGGCTACTTTTGCATTAAAAAAAAGCCAACTAAGTTATTTATTTTGCTGGAAAAGGAGCATGTCTAGAGACACTGTGCAGGTCATGCAGCTGCCAAGGCATCTGCCACTTACCTCTGCTTGGCAAACCCTCTCACAGCTGTAGCTACTGGTTGACATTGTAGCTTATGTCCAAAGCAGCAAGTAAGTGGTTAGTATTATTTTGATGAGGTTTGTGATGTGGAGACAGCACTCTACATACAGAGTCTTATAAAGAACTACTTACACTAAAGAAGTAACAGTTTCACTACTACCAGTTGCAAGGGTCTGGGGCCTAACCTTGCATGATACAAAATAAGCCCCCTGGAAACACAGAATATCTTTGAAGTGTAACATCTGAAGACATAAGTCTACCACACCAGAACATTCCTGATGTCACATTTCCTAGACATTCTGGCTGCTCACAGATGTTAAATCCCGCCCTACCCTGCCCAATTAATGCACTTTACCAGAAGTAGCAGTGCGTAATTTTGACCCAGCTCAGCTCTGCAGCATCTGTATAGATCAGGTGCTTCAGTAGGGCTTTTTGAAGCTTTTATCTAATAGCTGATTGAATCACCTATTAGACAAAATTCCAAAAAAGCCCCACTGAAGTGCTCGAGCTATAGACATTAGGTGAGCTGGGGCCAACTAAGGCCATGTGTAAATGAAAAGAGGGGTGTGTGTGCACGACACTTTGAAGCAGGCTAAATGCTTTTGCACCACTTTAATGGTGTCAGTGTTTGCACGCCTTGGTGGAGTATTGCGCATTAATCCCAGCCACTGTAGGAAATTTGGTGGCATAATGCACCTTAAATGACTTGGGGAGCAGCAAACTAAAACTCTGAGGAGTTTTAGTTTGCTGCCCTTACAACCATGGAGTGAAACACTGGGCTTTGTGCAGCTCCGTGGCTCTCTAGGAAGACCTGCAGGCAGCCTGGCAGTAGCCTGGGAAAGCAGCGAGCCTGATCCTCTCCCCCGCCCCAGAGCCCACCTGCCTGAGCTCTGTGGGGGCCTAGTGCTTCCCTCCATAACTGTGGTGGCCCTTGGGACCACCTGAGCCAGGTGCCTGCAGGCAGATGCTGCCTTGGGGGGGTGGGGCCCTGCTGCGGAGGGAAGCACCAGCCCCTGCCACAGCCCAGGGACCACTCTGCCCACTGGCAGCCCACCCTCCCCACCGCCAGAGAGGCAGGTAAGTCAGTGGTGTGTGTGCGTGACACAGGGGTTTAATCAGCCCTAAACTGAAGTGGTGTTTTTAAAGACCCACCACTTCAATTTAGGGGCCCTGTTTAATCTACAAATGGCCTAACAAGATGTCTCTATTGGTAGTTTAAAACAAGGCACTGTTTTTTATGGGGGATTTTTTTTAACATCTGTAAGCAGCCTCTGTGTTTTTCCAGGAGGACTGATTCTGTGTCACAGTTAGCCATGACAGTGGAAAAATATTTTTTTTCTATTTTCTGCCTTCAAAAACAAAGTGTGTATTTTATTTGTGGGTGTGTTGCATGTGAGAAAATATAGTATTAAACTTAAATACACAGACTACAGACATACAAATAAAGTTGACTGGGACATGCCTAGTGCATGTCCCAGTTTAACAAGGAGCTATGTATTTTATTTAAATTAGGCATGTGCTTAACCACTTGTGTGAATTGGGACCACCATCTGCTAGGTTTTATAAACATTACATTACGATTGTAGTATATATCTTATTTCTTGTTGCTTTTGCTTGAGCAGAATTGAAATGGTGAACCAATGTTGTTTTTAGATCTCCATAAATAACTGAGCCTTCAGAGAAATAAAATTTTAAATAAATAAATAAATTACTTTAAATAAAATAATTTTAAATAAATTACCTCTGTACAGATGTACAACGGTAATTGCACTTGATAAAGTAATATTGCAATTAGAGTGAATTCAATTTTGATATTATCTCTTATATCATGTCTTGTTTTTGTAACTTTAATACATTATAATTAGTTACTTTGCACTGTTAATTGTCCAAAGAATGTCTACATTCATCAATGCACTGTAAAAAGTAAGTTTGCATTAATACATTCAAACTTATTTCCAACAAATGGTCCAGAACTGAATAAAACAGGTTTTTTAATTAACTGCATGTCAATTTCTTCAAAGAAAGATATTACTTCTAATATTTCCTCTCTTCCTTAATACTATCAATTGATATGTTTACCTAATGTTGTAACCAGCTTTTTCACTGTGGTGGAATTAATCACCAATGTCATTAATGATACCGTTCCTGCATGCAGTAATATCTAAAACAGAAAAACAGAATATCACCATTCTGGTCACAACTGCCATCAGTAACATAAAATAAGTTGTAAATTATTTTGAATATTTATAAAGCACTCTACGTATCTTCCCAAAAGATGCCTCCATCCCAGAAGATATTATTATTAATTTCTAATTTTGCTAATTTTAACGCTATGTCGTTGCTGTTTTCAGAATGACTAAATAAGAAAAAAATTGTTATCAGGAATTCCATTTGTCACCATTCTTTCTTTTCACATCAAAAAATTACGAAGAGAGAAAATTATTGCATCACCTAACAAAAAACAAGGTTATAAGGCCAGTATTACTAAGCATCTGCACTCCCTTTTCTTCCTTGTATAAGAATTCCAGAACAGAAGACATTCAAGGAACTAACAGATAGGCAAAAATTAGCACCCTGATCCAAGGAGGAAAGCAAAGACTAGGAAAGATGACAACTACAATAGAAGGAATTACAAACAAGTAATTTTTTTCTGTTATACAACCTTCTTTTTTCCTCACCTGTAAAGAGAAACATAATGAAAAGATAATGGATATATTGAGCAAAGTCATCAGTGATTCTCTTGATATCCTGCTTGAATAACCTTTTGGTCAAGAGAGGTTGTTCCTGAGGACAACAAACCTAGTAGGTGATGGCAAACCACAGTATGTTATGATACTGATTTCTGGGATTGTTTTTGCTCAATGAGAGAGTCTCCCTTCATGTTAGCAGCTGCCTGCTTTGGGAATGACAAACACTATTTCTCAAGAAAACACTCTCTATAACAGTGCCCTCAGAAGAGACTTTTGATGCTATTTCCTGTTTCTCCAAAAACATTTTGGATTTTTTGCTGGGAGGCTTCAGGAGACAGAGCCGACCGGAGCAGGGTGTGGGGCCCGGGGCAAGTCAGCCCATGTGGAGCCCCGCCCTCGCTCCAATCCCATGTGCCTCAGACCCGAAGAAGCTGCCACTGCCATTGGCAGCAGCGGCGTCAGCGGTGGGGGGTAGCAAGTGGCTGAATGTGAAGCAAGTGACTGCAGCGTGGAGTTGCCGTGGCCGCTCCGCCTAGCTCCACAGGGCCCCCCAAAGCATGGGGCCCAGGGCGGTTGCCCTGATTGGCCCCCCCTCCCCCCTTAGGGACAGCCCTGTCAGGAGATACTGGCAAGCCACAAGTCTAAGCTTCAGCTCTATCTTCTATCTGTGAACTTGTTACCAAGGAAATGCATTTCCTCAGATGTATCTAAAACATGTTGTGCTGCATGCATTTCAAGATGGATTTGCACCAACCAGTATACTTTCAGTTGATCTGTTCTTGGTTTTATTGGGTTGATGGGCTCTCCTTTTAATATACCAAGGAAATAACTTAAACATGGCTTTTATGCTGGCAGCTGTTTACATGGTGGGGTTAACTGTATTAACTGTCCCTCTTCTCTCCTATTCTTTCATGGCAGGGGTGAAATCCTGGCCATGTGTAATTCAATGAGCCAGGATCTAAGTCAAAGTTACCTTTCAGTTTCTGTCACATTTGTACCAGAAGTGAATAGAGTTCAACACTAATCAAACCAATTGTTCTCTTCACCTTGTGTCTGGCCTTAAACTCCTCCCAGCTAAGAAATACCTATTTCTTAGGACTTTGAAAGCTTTCTCTTCAATGTTCATAGTCCTTGTAAGGTGAAGCATTTTTTTATCACTTCAGGGGAGACAATATGTAAAAGCGGTCACCAAAAATTCTGTTTGGGAAGGTAAATTCATACAAGAATGCTGAGTATCTCTATTCTAAGTTTGCCAAACACCACTCACACTTTAAGGCTAAAGGCATCTAGCCATTCCACTGCCCTTCTTGTGAGGGATTTGCAACCCCTACATTTCTACTTGATGTGTCCCTCACCTCTGCAGGATAGACCCTTCAAAATGATCATCACTTAAAAGTATAATAGCTCCATATGGTGAACAAAACATAAAATGAGAGACATGACCGACCAAGGAATAAATTCTTCTTTAAACAAACAAACAAACAAACAAAAATCACTAAGACCACAGACAAAAGTTACACTCATAGCACTAAAGATGTAAACAGATGTGATCCTGCCTGTGAAGCCCCCAGGGCTGAAGTGCTAAAAAAATAACAGAAAAAAGCATGGAGCAATATGCTCTCCAGTCAAGGCACATGATAGGGGATTGCTTAGCCCTGTGGCTCTGCTCCCCCTCTCACATACACAAGGAGAGTGAAGCCTATCAGTAATCACACTTCAGCCTGGATCCCCTAGGACTGGAGCTGTCCTGTCCTCTTGCCGGGTCAGGGCAGGCTATCAGTAGGCATGCTGTGGCCTAATGTCCTATGCCCACTATGGGAACCAAGAGAATGGAGTGCTGAGTGACTGAATAGCCCACTGTCCCTCCCTCCCAGTCCCCTTGGGGATGGTGGGAGGGCAGTGCACAAAACTGTGGGATGTTGGAGGACTGAGAGATCCTTTGTCATGCTAAGGTGCACTTGCAGACAGTATATGTAGGGATCTACTCAATTTGTGTTTTTGCAATTTTTGTGGAAAACAATCACTGTGAAATCTGGCATTCCCTGTGATTTTGCACAGAATCACCAGGAAAGAAAAAACTTTCTAAAAATAAAATGCTGGCTCCCTACTTAAGAGTGATAGATAAGACAGCAGTCAGGGATATGATTATCTCCCAGACAAAACAAAGACACCTTATGTAGCCATCAAATGAAGGGCATGGTATGAATCCTGGAGAATGAGTTTTGGGCAAAGCTATTTTCTGGATCCAATCCAGAGCAATTTAAGAGAAAAAAACAAATGTGCAGTGCTACTGAGATGGGGAAAGGGGGAGGAAAAAGGTGCCCAGCTGGAGCCTAAACACTACCAGTTGCCCCATCAGAAAGAAGAACATAAAAAGCATTGAAATGATCTCCCAGAATGGTGCTGAGAATAGTAAGAAATATGGGTAGGTTCAGACATTTCCTTCAGGATTGAAGGCTGCTAGGAAAAGTAAAAACACTCCACTTCCAGCCAGATGGTTGGAAAAAAAAATCAAGAAGCAGGGGTAGTGAACACTGCTTTATATCCTTGCAATGTAGAAGCCCAAGGAAGAGTGAGTTTAGACTCTAGAGCAGTGATTTCCGATGCAGTGCCTGTAGGCGCCATGGATAAAACTTCAAAAGAATACAAGTAAAGGGAAGCTGCATTTTGAAGTTGTCAATCTAATGTGATTTTAAATAATGTATGAGATGATTGGATTGATCTGAATTCTAAACTTTAATATTCATATTAGAGCCCACTGCTTTTACTTTTAAATTTGAATGTGCTCTTGGGCACATAAACATTGGGAACCCCTGTTCTAGAGCATACTCCACAGGTACTGCTAAGGTAAAAGAGTCTTGGAGCAGAGCTCAAGGATATGAGCTAGACTCACAAGTGAGAATCTGCTTGTGAACCAGTAGTGTAACTAGGGTGGGACGAGCAGGGCACCAACCTATGGCACGGTCTTAGAGGTGGCACCAGTGTGGCCTCCCTTTCCCTAGGATTCTTTTCAACAGCAGGGCAGCCCTGCACAGCTGCTGGCCACTGCAGCCAGGCAGACACAACCCCATGCCCAGTAGCATATCTGGGATGAAGGGTATGTGGAATTATGTCCCTCCCCAGGAGGCTTTGCCACAGAAGGCACAGCCCTGCCTTCAGCAGTAAGTGTGGAGTGAATGGTGATACCAGAAGAAGTCCCCAGGGGGCCCATTCTGCTGCTGCCTGTGCCTCAGTAGCTTAATACATACATTCACTTACAGCCAAGAACATTTCTGAGGCAAAAATCCTATTTCTCTTGGCCCAATCATCAATACAATGCAAATATCTCAAATAATCTTAGTGCATGCAGCAATTCTCTATAAGATAAGTAATAATTAGGTATATGGAAATGGTTACTCCAAACTATTGGCTTAGCAAGAAACCTTCCAGTGTGCTAAAACACAAAAAAGGAAGCTTACAAGAGGCAAAAACTTGGACAAAGGCCTAGGGATGAGTATAAGAGTGTTGCTTGGGCATGCAGGCATAAAATCAAGAAGGCCAAAGTGCAATTGTAGTTGCAACTAGCAAGGGACATGAAGGTTAACAAGGAGGGTTTCTACAAGTATGTCAGCAACAAAAGGAAGATCAGGGAAAGTGTGGGTCCTTTACTGAATGGGGGAGGCAACCTAGTGACTGGAGATGCAGAAAGGGCTGAAGTATTCAATGCCTTTTTTCACCTCAGTCTTCACAGGCAAGGTCAGCTCCCAGACTACTGCACCTGGCAGCACAGTTTGGGGAGGAGGTGAGCAGCCAACCACGGTGAAAGAACTGGTCATAAATTATTCAGATTTCCCGAGTGTGCTGAGGGAGTTGGCTGATATTATTGCAAAGCCACCAGCCATTATCTTTGAAAACTTGTGGCGATTGGAGAAGATCCCGGATGATTGGAAAAGGGCAAATATAGTAACCATCTTTAAGAAAGGGAAGAAGGAAGATCCAGGAAACTACAGACCAGTAAGCCTCACCTCAGTCCCTGGAAAAATCATGGAGCAGGTCCACAAAGTATCCATTTCTAAGCACTTGGAGAAGGTGATTAGGAACAGTCAGCATAGATTCACCAAGGGGAGGTCATGCCTGATCAACCAGATTGCCTTCTATGATGACGTGAATCGTTCTGTGAATGTGGGGAGAGCAGGGGACATGATATACCTTGACTTTGGCAAGGCTTTTGATATGGTTTCCCATAATATTCTTGCAAACAAGATAAGAAAGTATGGGTTGGATGAATGTATGGGTTGGTTGACTCATAAGGTGGATAAGTATGGGTTGGATGAATCATAAGGTGGATAGAAAACTGGCTGGATTGTCAGGCTCAAAGGGTAGTAAACAATGCCTTGATGTTTAGTTAGCAGCCAGTATCAAGTGGAGTGCCCCAGGGGTTGCTCCTAGGGCCAGTTTTGTTCAGTATCTTTAACAATGACCTGGAAGATGG